TCGGGAGCCAGCCGGAATGCCGTTCCTGTGCGTTCCTGCCCCAAAATAGCCCTGTGCGTAATCCACCTCGAGTCCAAGTGAGAAAGACCAACTATAAATAAGGCAAATAAGTAAATAAAAGCTGTTAAAAGCACAAGAGCAGAGCCGGTATAAAAGGAGTGTGGGGGTGCGCGAAGTGCCGTCGGGTTGCCAGTGGCGGACCTAACATTTTTGGGACCCTGAAGCTTGAACTGTGATGGGGTGGGGGCCTCTTCTCAACCAGCAACAACAGGTAGAAGGTCACCAGAGGTGTGTGTGTGGGGGGCTCACTTGGCTAAAGAGGTGACAATCTAATTTTTGGTGCTAAAAGGCACAAGCGAGACGAGTGCAGCCTGCATTGAGACTCCAGATGTCTTTTTATGGTTCTGATTGGCTAAGGGCTGGGCTGTAGGACTATTAAGCCTTGCACCGACGAAGGATTTGAGGATCCAGCTGCCAAAATGTAGGCTATGAATAGATCCTGGCGATCAAACGTCCAATGGCAAAAGCCCCACCTGGCCTTGCCCACGGGCACCTTGTTGGAGACCCCTGATCTAGAGTATAAAAGGTGGCACTTTCCCATATCACTTCCTGAACTGAAGGGTACCTCAAAATGCTGACAACGTTCCCGCGGATTTCTACGGCAAGGGGGGAAAGCCTTACTGCACCACATTTAATACTTTTTACACACCTTGCGTTTTCTCTGCCTGCAATTCTTATGCCCACCAGCACCCATAATATATGAGAACGTTGTTTTAAAGAATCCAGAAGGACCCAAACGCATTTTACAAGCAAAGGAAACCAGAAATCGCAGTATTCCGTCTCCGTCGCTAGAGCGTTGGCGCCTCCCGCTGGCCAAATCTGGCACATCATGTTACACGTTAATCTGCTGTTCAGCCCCTGTCTATAAATTTGAACTCTACTCTATATGCTGAACCCTGGAGAAGAAGTGAAACTCCTTCAAAGGAAGAATAGATGAAATACTGGAAACAGCAGAGATGGACAACTTAACTTCAATCTTGAGAGGAAATAACAAAAGATTTTGAGGGCACATGGTCAAAAGATGCCTAAGTAACTGAGCAATAAATATAGCTAAGATTGGAGTAACACAATAGGTAAGACATGTAAATATCAGTAAGTTTGTATACAAATAATAAAGGAGTGAACAACCGATGTGAGAACTAAGATGAAATCCAGTGGCACCTCCAAGACCAACAAAATTTGATTTCTGGGTATAAGTGAGATCTGAGTAAATTAGAATGTCTAGTGAGATAAGAAGCCAATGTCTCTGTTAAATCCTGGGATTCCATTGCTCTGAGTGTTGTTGTCATGACCCCAGGGGGTCTCTGCCTTCCGTCGCCACCACCCTGGACTTCGGTCCCTTTGAGAAGGCCCAGGGTACCCTCTCAAACCCATCCAACAAGCCCCTTTACAGCCAAGAACACACAGGCGTGATTGATACAGGCAGAGAAAATAATTAAATACAAAGGGTTTATTAAAAACAAAACTGGGGCATGGAAGACAAGGCAAGGTGCTTTAAAAGGGTATAACAGTGTGAAAGGCAAAATAAACATAATCTAACGCATAATCCAACCTGTTTCTACTTCCAGGTCCACAGCCTGCCTAGCACTCACGCTGAGCCCAGTAAGGATGTGCATTCGGTTCGTTCAAACCGAATGCACCCCCGAAAATGGCCCATTCGGACCGCTTTCGGGCTGCTGCATACCCATTCAGATTCTCTGATCTGAATTGGCTTGCCCCCGAATTGCCGGCAATTCGGCCCCATTATATCCTACGGGCCATTGAAGTCAATGGCGAAAACACAGGGTATATTGGTGGGGAAAAAGTAACTTTTTTCTTACTATAGAGAACAATGGAGGGGATAGGGGCAACCTGTTTGAGGGCCCGTAGAATTGGACCCCCTGGTCCAATCCTCTTGAAACTTGGTTGGTATCTTGGGGAGAGGCTCCAGCCGCTGCCCTGCGAGTTTGGAGCCTCTCCATCACCACCCCTCCCCTCCAACACACAGAATATACCCTATGTTTTCGCCATTGACTTCAATGGCCCGTAGGATATAATGGGGCTGAAATTGACATTCGGCTGGCAAAGACTCCCCAATGGGCTCCTACTGACGAAACTGACATGCGGGAGTCTTACTGCCAGCCGAAATTGATTCTGCCTGATTCGGCTGCATCTGAATGGGCCGGATTTATTTTATTTTTTTGCACACCCCTAGAGCTCAGTGGAGATCTTCCTCTCTCCCAGACCAGCCTGTCCCCACAGTGAGACCAGGCCGCAGAGAAAGACACCCTGTTTTCCACAGTTAACCGTTAAGACCAACTCTCCTCACACAGTTCAACAGTCTCCTCACAGAATCTCCCTCTCTGATTGGCTACAGCTCGTTGCTAAGCCTTATGGGGACTGTAGGCTGTCTGCTCACTGCCGTGCAGGTCTCTCCTGGGACCAGGCCGCAGTAGGCCCTGCTCCCAGTCCTGCACAGATCATGACAACAAGGAAGAAACGTGTCCAGCGACAGCATGGGCATTGGCCAATAGGACCTTCCCTTAACATCAGGATGGAGAGAAAAAAGAAGCTTGAAGAGTAAAGAAAGAGAGAGAGAGAGAGAGAGAGAGAGAGAGAGAGAGAGAGATCTTCCTTGAGTGACAGGGTTCAGCCAGGCTAGCAAGAGCCAGTGTGGGGCAGCAGTTAGAGGGTCAGAGTAGGAGGCCAACAAAGTTTAATTCTGGGTATGAGCTAGAAGGAGTGTGGGCCTGCACACGGAACCTTACGCCCAGAGTTAAACTGGGTTGGTCTTAAAGGGGCCGCTGGACTCACACTTGGCTCTGAGTAAGTAAAATCGTAGCTGGGCAGGCCATGTGATCTGAAAAGAATTCTGGAGCAGCGACCGAAGGGAGGGGGGGACCGGTCCCCTCTGTCCCCCGCTGGCTGTATCCGAAGAAGGGAGCAGTGATGCTCAAAAGCTCCTCCCCTGCCACAGATCTTATTCGCCTTTCAGGGGCTCCTGGACTCTTGCTCTTTTCTGCTGCGGCAGACAAACAGGGCTCCCCATCTCGAGGAAGTGAGCGGTGACTCCCGAAAGCTCCTCCCCTGCCACAAATTTTGTTAGTCTTTCAGGTGCTCCTGGACTCTTGCTCTTTTCTGCTGCTAGGTAAAGGTAAAGGTTCCCTTGTTTGAAAGCCAGTCGAGTCCGACTCTAGGGTTGCGGTGCTCATCTCTGTTTCCAAGCCGAAGAGCCAGCGCTGTCCGAAGACGCTTCCATGGTCATGTGGCCGGCATGACTAAACACCAAGCCGCACGGAACGCTGTTCCCTTCCCACCGAAGTGGTACCTATTTATCTACTTGCAATGTCTTGCTTTCGAGCGGCTGGGTTGGCAGGAGCTGGAACTAGAGACGGGAGCTCACTCCGTCATGCGGCATCCTGGGTCTCGAACTGCTGAACTACCGACCTTCCACAGCCTGCAGCTCAGCGTCTTAACCACTTGAGCCACCGCAGCTCTTTTCTCCTGCTGCAGGCAGACTAAAACAGCTACCCCCATCTTGAAGAAGTGAGCAGGGACTCCTGTGAGTGGCTCCGATAATCCATGAGATTTCCTTCCAGGGTCGACCCTGGTTAGTACTTAGACGGGAGACCCCCCCCTCCTAGGAAGCCCTGGGTTGCTATGCAGAGGCAGGCAAGGGCAAACCCCCTCTGCCTGGAGCTGGATTGGTCCAGGCTAGCAGATCTTGGAAGTTAAGCAGGGTTGGCCCTAGTTAATACTTGGATGGGAGACCGCCAATGTATTCCTTTATTTATCTCATACCCCGCCCTATCCCACAAGTGGGCTCAAGGAAGCCCAGGGTCGCTACGCAGAGGCAGGCAATGGCAAAACCCCTCCGTTTGCCTCTGCCTGGGTCTGGATGGTACAAGCTAGCTCAGTCTCATCAGGTCTCGGAGGCTACACAGGGTCAGTATGAGTTAGCACTTGGATGCAGGGGTCATTTCCTGCGGGAGCGCACAGGAGCGGAGCTCCGGCAGGAAAGAGCCCAGGGGGCGGGCACATGCAAGAAGCCCCGCCCCCTGCTCCCAGCAGCCCTCAGTCAGAGCAAGAAGCAGCCAGGTAAGTTGCAGAGCCCCCCCCTCCCCCAAGATAATCCAGTGGCACCTTTAAGTCCAGGTTTTATTCAGGTACAAGCTCTCCCTCCTCTTTGAGGACAGATCTGCATGTTCTTTCCCCCCATAATATCTAGCAATCCAAACAGTCCAGTGGAGCCTGAGCGGTGGGCGTTGCCTTCTGACACACGTCCGGTGATGTCAGGGGGTGTGGCCTATGCAAATAAGTTACGCTAATGAGCTCCTGCTCCTCTTTTTCTACGAAATGACCCCTGCTTGGATGGGAGACCACCAAGGAAGCCCAGGGTTGCTATGCAGAGGCAGGCAATGGCAAACCCACCTCTGTTCATCTCTTGCGTGGAATGGGGTTGCCGTGAGTCAGTTACTCCTCAGTGGCACCTCCTTTTCTTCCTCCCCTTCTCTTCCTCCCCCCATTACACTCTCTCCTTCCACTGCGACACGGACCTCGGCCCCTCAACCCCCATTCTCCGCTTCAGATGGCAACTCAGGAAAGACCTCGACACAGTCTCTTCATTGCACTTTGCCCAAGAAGGTCTGCTTAGAAGTTAAGTCCCTTTTTAGTCCACGGAGCTTCCTCCCGGGCAGGGGTTATTTTTCCCTGGCGGAACGCGCCGGAGACAGAGTTCCGGAACCTCTTTGGCAAAATTCTGTTTTAAATGTTCAAACGTTTGTGAGTTTTCGGTATAGAGATTGAAAACTTCGTTTCCCTCTTGAGAGTTCCGGCGCCTCTTCCCCCCCCCCCCCCAAAAGCCCTGCTCCCGGGGAAAGCGCTCTTAGGACTTCAGCCTCAAAAGCTCCGGCTGACGGATCCGCTAACTCAATAAAACCGTCGCCTTCCTTTTTACTCACCCATCTTGATGGCCGTCTTGACCCCCGATCAGCTCAGCTGCTCCGGCTCTGGCAGCCCCCCAGGGAAGGGAGAGGCAGCAGCCGCGGCGTCCCAGGGGACTGAGGTGTGTAGGCTGTCCTGGGGGATGTTTGGCAAGGGGCGGTGCTGCAGCCAGGGGTGAGCGGAGGGGGAGGCCTGCAGAGGACGGAGAATAAGCATCACATTTCTACAGCTTTATGCACATCGCCTTGCTGCGGTCTTTACGACACCCCTGCAAGGCGGGCTGGTGTGTTGACGAGGAGGGAAAGGATTGAATGAGGGACTCTCTTGCCTAGAGAGCCAGTTTGGCGTCGTGGTTAGGAGCGCGGACTCTGATCTGGGAGAACCGGGTTTGATCCCCCGCTCCTCCACGTGCAGCTGCTGGTGTAACCTTGGGCCAGTCACAAGTTCTCACGAAGCCGTTCTCTCGTGAGCAGTTTCTGTCAGAGCTCTCTCAGCCCCACCTACCTCACAGGTTGTCTGTTGTGGGAAGGGGAAGGGAAAGGAGTCTGTAAGCCGCTCTGAGACTCATTCAGAAGAAGAAGAAGAAGAGAGAAGAGATTGGATTTCTACCCCGCCCTTCACTTGGAGTCTCAGAGCGGCTTACAAACTCCTTTTCCTTCCCCTCCCCACAACAGACACCCTGTGAGCAGTGTTCCCTCTAAGCTGAGTTAGTGTGCGCTAGCTCATAGTTTTTTAGCCTCCAGCTCACACATTTTTGTCTTAGGTCAGGAAGGATGGTTCCATGGCAAAGCAATTTATGCAGTCGCCAAATGGCTCGCTCACAACTTTAATGACAGTAGCTCACAAAGGGGAACTTTTGCTCACAAGACTCCACAGCTTGGAGGGAACATTGCCTGTGAGGCAGGTGGGGCTGAGAGAGCTCTGACCCAAACTGCTCTTTTTCAAGGACAGCTGTGCCAGAGCTTGTGACTGACCCAAGGTCACACCAGCAGCTGCAAGTGGAGGAGTGGGGAATCGAACCCGGTTCTCCCAGATTAGAGTCCATGCACTTAACCACGACACCACTACACTACACCAAACTGGCTCTCAGGTGGTGAAGGGCGGGGTATAATTCCAATCTCCTCCTCCTCCTCCTTTTCTTCTTCTCCTCCATCTAACAGGTTCACGCTGAGATTTGAACCAGCAGCTTTCTCATTTGTAGCACGGTCTTTAGGTTAGGGTCAAGATGAGAAGTTCCGGGAGATTTGAGGATGGGGCCCAGGGAGGGCGGGGTTTGGGGAGGGAAGGGACCGCATCAGACAACAATGCCACCGAGACCAGCTTCCAAAGCCGCCATTGTCTCCAGGGGGACTGATCTCTGCTGGCTGGAGACCACTTGTAATCCCAGGAGGTCTCCAGCCACCACCAGGAGGTTGGCACCCCTATTAACACAGGACTGCAAAGACGAGGAGGAGGATGAGATTGGCTGTATACCCTGCCCTTCACTACCCAAAGAACATCTTACAATCTCCTTTCCTTTCCCCTTCCCACAATGGACACCCTGTGTGGTCGGTGGGGCTCAGAGAGCTCTTGAGAGAGAGAGAGAACTGCTCCTGAGAGAACAGCTCTGAAAGAACTGTGACTGGCCCGAGGTCACATCAGCAGCTGCGTGTGGGAGTGGGGAATCTAACCCGGTTCTCCCAGATTAGAGTCTGTGCATTTAACCAACGCTCCCTCTAAGCTGCAGAGTCTTGTGAGCAAAAAATCTACTTTGTGAGCTACCGGATTTCAAGTTGTGAGCAAGCGATTTGGCTCCTGCATCAATCAGTTTGCACTGGAGCCATCCTTCCTGAGCCGGGACAAAAACACGTGAGCCGGAGGCTAAAAAACTGTGAGCTAGCTCACACCAGCTCAGCTTAGAGGGAACAGTGCTCCTAACCACCACACCAAACTGACACCCAAACAGTGCGCAGGGGTGTTAAAAGTTGCACGTCCGGTCACTACTACGTTTGCCACTAAAGCGTCTGGCTTCCACAAATGGTCTTCGTTCAACGGTTCTGCAAAACACGCCCTCCTGGAATAATGCTCCCTCTAGGCTGCGTGATCTTGTGAGCAAAAATTCCACTCTGTGAGCTACTGGCATTAAAGTTTTGAGCGAGCGATTTGGCTGCTGCATAAATCAGTTTGCTCGGGGGCCCTCCTTCCTGAGCAGACAAAAATCTGTGAGCCGGAGGCTTAAAAACTGTGAGCTGGCTCACACTAACTCAGCTCAGAGGGAACACTGCTCCTGGACCAGAGATGCCCTCCTTTTCCCCGCCCCCCCCCCGCCAGGCTCTCTCTGGCACCGTCCTCGGGCTGCAGGTGCAACTCACTTGATACACGGGGTTGGCAGGAGGGGGCTTATTCAGCTGCGGACGGATTCCACGAGGAGGTACGGGAGGGGTCTGCAGCTCCGGGTCCAGATGTGGAGAGGAAACGGGATTCTCGATCTGGAGGGAAAGGACAGGGTCAACCCACGCCCGCTAAACATCGAGGAACATTCGTCGACGAAACGAATTCAAGGGAGACCGAAAGATTCGTTTACTCGCCGAACACAAACGGCCATCCGCATAAAGCAAAACAGGAATACGTTTCGTACTAAAAACTTGAATTACCCTTGGGATATAAGGCCCCCCCGCCCCGTGATACCTCTGCTCTGTCCACCGCTGCCCCTCCCTGTGTTCACCATTAGAGTTGCCGACTCTGGGTTGGGAAATCCCTGGAGATTTTGGAGGCAGGGCCTGTGGAGGGAGGGGTTTAGGGAGGGGAGAGAGCTCAGCTGCCTATAATGCCTTAGAGTCTACCCTCCAGAGCGGTCTTTTTCTCCAGGGGATCAATTGTAATAGCAGGAGATCTCCGGGTAACACCTTGAGGAGGTCAACCCTAGCAGGTTGGGGAGACATTTTAGGATTGGGAAATCCCTGGAGATTTTGGTAGGGTTGCCAGGTCCAAATCGGGAAATATCTGGGGATGTTGGGGGTGGAGCCAGGATGTGACATCACAAAAGTGGTGTCACACCCTGTGATGTCACCCTCAGGTCTACCCTCACATCCAGAAGGTTCCTGTGATTCCATGGCAGGAGCTTGTGCTTCTAACACAGTGTTTGCTCTCAACTCATTCTCCACCCGAGCCACATGCTTGGGTGGTACCACTTAAGGTTGCCAGGCGAGGCTGACAAGGTGGTGGGGGACTTTCCAGGAGCCTCCAGGACGGGGTGGGTGGGGAGAAGCTTGACTGGACTCCAATTCCCTGAAGCGGGGGGAAGGACTCCAAACCAGGGAATCCCCTGCCCCCAACTGGGAATTATCAAAGCATTCACAAATGTCACAAGTTACCATTAGACAATAGTCTATTGCAACATAACCACAGTAAAACAATTGATAGAGTAGAATTAGTGGTCACAATTCCAAAACACTCGTGACAATTCAAAGACGACAAAATTTGGTATAACAATTCAATAATGAAGAACGAATCCAGCAGGTGACTCCTCTGTATTCTTTCAGTATAATAGTGTCCCAAAGACCTCAAAGTGCATTTTGAATCTCTCTTTGGTTTCTTTGGTTTCACTGTTATATTGTTATATCGTAATTCCGCTTTTCAGCCATAAAACTGAGGAAGGAGGCTTTGAAACGTCTGGCATACCTAGGAAGGACGTTTTTGGCTGCAGATTTATATTTGGGACATCCTCTGCCTTTTTTGTGGACTTTTGAGGTCTTTGGGACACTATCAGGGGTCATTACGTAGAAAAAGAGTTACAGGAGCTTATTAGCATAACTCATTAGCATAACTTATTTGCATATGTCACACCCCCTGCCAGAAGGCAACACCCACTGCTCTGGCTCCACTGGACTGTTTTGGATTGCTAGCTATTGGGGATGTACAGATCTGTCCTCGCAGAGGAGGGAGAGCTTGTACCTGAATAAAACTTGGTCTTAAAGGTGCCACTGGACTGTTTTGGACCAGGAGGCCTCTGCAACTTACCTGGCTGCTTCTTGCTCTGACTGAGGGCTGCTGGGAGCAGGGGGTGGGGCTTGTTGCATGTGCCCGCCCCCTGGGCTCTTTACTGCTGGAGCTCCGCTCCTGTGCGCTCCCGCAGGAAATAACCCCTGGACACTATTATACTGAAAGGATACAGAGGAGTCGCCTGTTGGATTCTTTCTTCACTACTGAATTGTTATACCAAATTTTGCCTTCTGTCCTTTGAATTGTCACTAGTGTTTTGGAACGGTGACCACTGACTCTACTCTGTTCCTTGTTATACTGTGATTACGTTGCAACAGACTGTTGTCTGATGGTAACTTGTGAAATCTGTGAATGCCTTGATGGTCTAAAAAGGTAAAGGTAAAGGTTCCCTTGCTCGAAAGCCAGTCGAGTCCGACTCTAGGGTTGCAGTGCTCATCTCCGTTTCAAAGCTGAAGAGCCAGCGCTGTCCGAAGTAGTTTCCGTGGTCATGTGGCCGGCATGACTAAACACTAAGGAGCACGGAACGCTGTTCCCTTCCCACCGAAGTGGTACCTATTTATCTACTTGCCATTTCTTGCTTTCGAACTGCTAGGTTGGCAGGAGCTGGAACTAGAGACGGGAGCTCACTCGAGAGCAATCCTAACAGCGGGGGAAATCCGGGTGCCACCCGGAAGATGGCGAGCCCGTGCCCCCGCCCCGCCAGCCACTGACCCCGATCCCCTTGCGCATGAGAGCCAGCTGCTGCAGCACGTCCTCCACGTCCTCCAGGTCTCCCTCGTCGTCGTCTTCATCTAGGCTGGGCTTTTCCTCCTTGTAGGTGAAGGGGTCGATGAGGACGTCTTCGTGGCCCCAGATCTCGCGGCGGCAGAACGGGCAGGTGTGCGCCTCAGACAGCTGGTGGGGGTGGAAGGCAGAGGGGTTCGGTCAGGATCCGGCCCCGAGGCGAGGCGAAGACAACATGGGTCTTTCTCTGGCTTCTGAACCCTGATTCCCCTCTAGGCTTTCTCTCCCCTCTGAGCCCTGCCACAACCCCCGGTTCAACGGGCGAAGGCACGGAAGCGTTGGGCGTACTTGCGAATGCCCAGTTTTGTGTGGACTGCCTGAGGGTATTTAGCAGGAACACCATAAGGGAAAAAGCCAAAGGGCTGTGCTCTCTAAGGCTTCTTATCGTTTCATTATTGTCCACAAGAGTGGAATGGCACTAACGCTCAGGGGGAAATCTGGAATTAGCTGATAGTAAAAGGGAAACTTGGCCTGGAGGGCCCAGGTGAGCCCGATCGCGTCAGCTCTCAGAAGTTAAGCAGGGCTGGCCCAGGTGAGTACTTGGATGGGAGACCAACAAGGGAAGGGTTGCTACGCAGAGGCAGGCGATGGCAGAGCACCCCTGATAGTCTCTTGCCCTGACCTGGATGGCCCAGGCTAGCCTGATCTCATCGGACCTCGGAAGCTAAGCAGGGTCGGCCCTGGTTCGTACTTGGATGGGAGACCGCCGAGGAAGCCCAGGGTTGCTACGCAGAGGCAGGCAATGGGAAACCACCCCCGTTCGTCCCTTGCCTTGAAAACCCTACGGGGTCACCCTAATTCGGCTGCGACTCGGCAGCATTTCCCACCTCCAAAAAGGAGAAAAGAGAACCAACGCAAGGCCGTGCTTAAGAAAGAAAGGAAGGAGCGAACCGGAGATGCCATCCGGTCCAGTCATGTGGGGCCACCTCGGCAGGGCCCTTTTTGTAGCAGGAGCTCCTTTGCATATTAGGCGACACCCCCCCTAATGTAGCCAATCCGCCAAGAGCTTACAGAGCTCTTCTCACAGGGGCTACTGTAAACTCTTGGAGGATTGGCTACATTAGGGGGGGTGTCGCCTGATATGCAAAGGAGCTCCTGCTACAAAAAGAGCCCGGCCAGGAACAGCAGGGGGCAGGGCTGGACTGGGAGTGAGCCCAGCCAAGGGCCCTCGGTCTGTGCCAGCAGAATCGTGTGGGGCTGCTGCCCCCCTGGGGGCTCTGCTCAGCTCACTCCTGCCCCCCCTGGTGACCCTCGAGGGCAGCGCCCCCGCCCAACCGGGAATTTCCCTGGGAACTGAAAGGGCCCGTTCCGCCCTTGGGGTCAGGAGCTCACCTGCCAGGCGTCGAGGCAGCTGCGGCAGAGCAGGTGCCCGCAAGGCTGGATCCGGACGTCCTTGTCGTTCTCGGCGCAGATCTTGCAGAGCTGGAAGGTGGAGCCCACCTGGCAGTAGAGCTCAAACTGTTCCTGCAAGAGGAGTGGCGGAGGAAGGAGGAATTGGAAGAAGACCTTCGCGTGGGCCCGAGCCCTAAATGTGCATCGTAGGGACCACTTAGCAACCAACACCAGTTTGGTGTAGTGGTTAAGAGCGCGGACTCTAATCTGGGGGAACCGGGTTTGATTCCCCATGCCTCCAAATGCAGCTGCTGGTGGGACTTTGGGTCAGTCACAAGTTCTCTCGGAGCTGTTCTCTCAAGGGCAGTCCTCGAGAGAGCTCTCTCAGCCCCACCTAACTCACAGGGTGTCTGCTGTGGGGAGGGGAAGGGGAAGGAGACTGTAAGCTGCTCTGAGACTCTGAGTGAAGGGCGGGGTGTAAATCCAGTCTCCTCCTCCTCTTCTTCTAAATCGCTCCGGCTCGCCTGATCTTGTCAGAACTCAGAAGCTAAGCAAGGTTTTCAGTGCATCCAGTGAAGGAAGCTCTGACCCACGGCAGCTCATGCAGGAATAGATTTTATTTGTCTTTAAGGTGCCACTGGATTCCTGTCTCTGTTGTGCAGCTGCAGACTTAACAGGGCTACCCACCCGGAATTATCTCCCAGCCAACAAAGACCATAAGAACATCAGAGAAGCCATGCTGGATCAGGCCAATGGCCCACCTGGTACAACATTCTGTGTCTCACAGTGGCCAAAACCCAGGTGCCGTCAAGAGGTCCACCAGCAGGACCAGAACTCCAGAAGCCCTCCCACTGCTCCCCCCCCCCAAGCACCAAGAACAAAGACCATCACTGCCCCAGACAGAGTCTTCCATCTATAAAGGTAAAGGTTTCCCTTGCTTGAAAGCCAGTCGAATCCGACTCTAGGGGGCGGTGCTTATCTCTGTTTCCAAGCTAAAGAGTCGGCGCTGTCCGAAGAGCGCTGTGACCTTCCCACCAAAGCAGTACCTGCTTATCTACTTGCAGTTTCTTGCTTTCGAACTGCTAGGTTGGCAGGAGCTGGGGCCAGACACGGGAGCTCACTCCGTCACGCGGCACTCGGGTCTCGAACAGCCGAACTATCGACCTTCCGGTCTGCAGCTCAGCATCTTAACCTCTGAGCCACTGCGGCCCCTCTCTTCTATCTATAGGTAAAGGTAAAGGTCTCCCTTGCTCGAAAGCCAGTCGAATCCGACTCTAGGATTGCGGTGCTCATCTCCGTTTCCAAGCCGAAGAGCCAGCACTGTCCGAAGACGTTTCCGTGGTCATGTGGCCGGCATGGCTAAACGCCGAGGCGGTACCTATGTATCTACTTGCAATTTCTTGCTTTCGAACTGCTAGGTTGGCAGGAAGCGGGAACCAGAGACGGGAGCTCACTCCGTCATGCGGCACACTCGGGTCTCGAACTGCCGAACTACCGACCTTCCAGCCTGCAGTTCGGCGTCTTAACCACTTGAGCCACCGCATCTCCCTTCCACCTACGCCTTGTGGCTTATATGGAACCTCTGTTCCGTATGTTTCTCCAATCCCTTCTCAAAAGCTGTCTGTGCTTGTAGCTGCCACCACTTCCTGTGGCAGTAATTTCCACGTGTTGATTACTCTTTGGGTTAAGAAGTACATCTGTTGGGGCAGAGGCTGCTGGGAAGGTTCAGAAAAAGCGGAAGGCCTTACTTGCGAGACCTGGATTCTGCTCTGAGACGAGGCATTCATTAATTCCGTCAGGTCCGGGTTGATATTCTTCCCGTCGGGATAGAGGTAGCTGCAGGAAGAGAGGAGGAGTACGTCGGAACAACCTTTTGGATCAGTCACTGTTTGGTGCAGTTAAACGTTTCATGATGGGAAAAGATGCATGTTCAAGTTAATCTAAATATAAGTATATTTTCCTGGGCAGCAAGGGCATGCGTTCGTTGAAGGCGTACAATGAATTAGATTAAGGGCTTTTCCTCATTCTCATTTTTATCGCTTGTCTGTCCCTGTTGCTTTGGGGTTTCCCCCTGTTAAACACATGTTTTGCTCCCTCTAGTGGCCAGTTCGATATTACGTTGCGTTATGTCCGGCAAACAAGGTACGGAGGCTGAGGCCTTCCCTTAATAAAAACCTAAGAACAGCCCTGCTGGATCAGACCAGTGGCCCATCTAGTCCAGCATCCTGTCTCACACAGAGGCCAACCAGTTCCTCTGGAGGGCCAATCAAAGGGCATAAAGGCCGAGGCCTTCCCCTGATAAGAACCTAAGAAGAGCTTGCTGGATCAGACCAGTTGTCCATCCAGTCCAGTGTCCTGTCTCTCACACAGGGGCCAGTCAGTTCCTCTGGAGGGCCAACAAACAGGGCGGAGAGGCTGTGGCCTTCCTAAGAACATCAGAAGAGCCCTGCTGGATCAGACCAGTACTCCATCTAGTCCAGCATCCTGTCTCACACAGTGGCCAACCAGTTCCTCTGGAGGGCCAACAACAGGGCAGAGAGCCGATGATAGATGGATGGATGATAGATAGATGATAGATAAATGACAGATAGATAGATGACAGATAGATAGATAGATAAATTGATAGATAGTGTCACGCTCAGGGTCGCCCCCAGGTCCTGCAAACTCAGTAGCCGTGTTGACATTCTATAGAGGAAACGAGCGCCTCAGATTTGGAAGTGCTGGGGGTTGCTTCACACCCCAGACAACTTCCTCAGACCAACCATTTTTTCCTTCTCTCTCTGGGTTGGCCAGGAGATCGGGTCTGAATTCCTCCCCGGCACTCTTCAGCTTCCTCTCTTTTATATCCCCTCTTTTCCCCTGTGTTCCACCCCTTTATGTGATTAATAAACCTATAGGCTATTCCACCTGTCCATCACCGTGATCTCTTATCTCATGGTGCTCCCCCCTCTTAGTCCCGCCTTCCTGTATACTCAGTGCTTCCATCCCGGAGCTGGGCGTGTAAGGGAGTTCCCCCTTCCGGTCTGTACGACGAGGCCAACGCTGGCGTTCCCGGTGTCTTTACCTTTCAGGGGTAAGGTTGGGAATGTCCACCTGTCTCGCTCTTGCAACCGGGCCCTCCCCCCTTTATTCAGCATCTGAACGCGGTCTGTGCCAGTCCGTTCCCCCAACCCCTTCTCTTCCGGATTCCTCCAGCCCCGTTGTGAGCGTTGAGGGAGGGGTTCGAGGTCTCGGGTGCTTCCAAGACCCCCGTTCTTCCCTGAGACTTGGGTATAGCTCGGCGCGGGTAGATAGATTGATAGATGACAGATAGATGATAGATGGATGGATGACAGATAGATGATAGATGGATGGATGACAGATAGATGATAGATGGATGGATGATAGATAGATAGAGGGATAGATAGATAGAGGGATAGATAGAGGGATGGATAGATAGCGGGATGGATAGATAGATAGATAGATAGATGGATGGATAGATAGATAGATAGATGGATGGATAGATAGATAGAGGGAGGGAGGGATGGATAGATAGAGGGAGGGATAGATAAGATAGAGGGATAGATGGATAGATAGAGAGATAGAGAGAGAGAGAGAGAGAGATGGATGGATGATAGATGGATAGATGGATGATAGATAGATGGATGATAGATAGATGGATGATAGATGGATATAGAGATAGATAGATAAGATAGAGGGATGGATGGATAGATGGATGGATGGATGGATGGATGGATGGATAGATAGATAGATAGATAGATAGATAGATAGATAGATAGATAGATAAATAGATGAAT